CACAAACATCTAGAACAAAGCTTTAACAGTTTCCAAAAAGTTTAATTTAGAAATTCAGGAAGGATGTATTAAATTAATTAAAAGTGATACAATTTTTTTCTTCTGGAGAAAGTCTTTTTTGTTTTATTTCAGCTAGAATAAAAGCAGTTTTTAAATTTTTAAAAAACATTTTAAGGGGGAAATTATTAGCCCCTTTAAGCTATATTTTGTTTTCGATAGTCTACAGAACAAACCATCATTATACAATAACTTGGCTAATTCTACCAAGCAAACCTAATTAAGCCTTTAAATGTCACTTTGAACTGAATTGAAGTGTCTAGAAAAATATCTAGTCAAGTATTATTTATTGTCATCATGGTAAAGATAAAATAAATCAGTTATTAGAGATGAGTTATTAAAACTATTATGTTTAGAAATGTGTTGAAAAAATCTCTCTGTTAAAGAGAAATGGTGGGGAATGAACAGGGGGGCTAATAATATATGATAATAATATATATATATATATATATATATATATATATATATATATATATATATATATATATATAAAATTGTAATTATTATTTATTTATTTCAAATACATGCTGTTATTTTGAACTGTCTGCTTTGAGATTTATGAACAAATAGCGATGATAATAAATGATTCAAGCACCAAATCAGTATATTTTAATGATTGATGAATGATTATGATTCTGAAAAAAAATTTTGAAAAATAAATTATTAATATAAAATCAAAAAGTTTAATTTTACTAATAAAACAATAAGTTTTATTAAAACAACAAGTTTTATTAAAACAACAAGAATAAAAACTTCACTTAAAAGATCATGCACAGTGATAATAATATTGTCATTAATGTCACATGTAAAACATAATTGTTTTATCTACATTCCTAAAACTGCCCCACCAAAAAAAAAAAATTTGGATTGCAACTAATGTCCCTAGTTAACACACTTAATGTATAAATTTTTTTCAAAGCATCCCTTAATTTCTAAAACATCAGCCTCTACAGAACGGTTGATATGTTGGTTTATGGTAAAAGTCCTGGAACTAATACATATGAAAATCAGACAGTATGAAGTGAAAGACCAATTTATTTAAAAACATGATCAAAATAAACATGTTTGAACACTAAATCATCTTTATTTTTTTTAAGTATGCCATAAAATATTTCAGATTCTCAATTAACATGTTGTTTTGTTTATTTATTTAAATAAAACCAAGATCAAGTGTGGTAGTTTAACAGGATTATGTTTGTTTGATTTTTTGTAAACCAGCAATGCTGTGTCTGCAAACCATTATTTAAAACAGTCATTATTTAAATGACTTTAACAGTCATGATTTAAAACAGTCAAAATAAGGTCAACCATTTTGAAGAGAAGGCAGTTAAAGGCATATAAACAAATATATATATTTTAGAAGATCCACATTTCAGTACAATGCAACTTGTTTATTAAATAACCAAGAAGCTGATGTATAAAACAGAATCTCACTCAGCACCATCTGTTTGTGTAAAAGTCTCCAGGCCTGTTAATATAAAGACGAAGCAGTGTCCTGTTTCACAACCTCCCCCAGAACATTGTTTGTTGCCACAAACCTTATAAACACCAAATGCCCAATTTAAAAGGGCAATCTGACATTCTGTTCAGTAAACACGAAACGACTCTCCGAATGAGTCAACAATAAAGGCAAGAACTGCACGCTATCTCTTGAACATACAAATAAATATGGCAAAGCTTTACCATAAAACAAAACAGCTTATTGGATGCTACTACATGAAAAGTAGATATTTAGGGCATAGAACATCTACAGTCAATAATTTTATAAATGATAACAAAATCTATGAAACTGTATCATAACAATATTTGGCCTCATAAGGCTGATTTGACCATTTCACCACCAAATGATTTGACCTGCTGGTTGGTTAGTTAGAACAGCTGTGCAACAAGTCAGACAATTTAAACATGAATTATTTACTCCTTCTTGACCCAGACACAGGCCATTTTATCGAACAGCGATATCCTTTCAAGAGAGCCACAAACAAACCCATGTGATCATTTCTTTCAAAAAAAACTTTCAGGATTCTCCTTGGAATAAACATTTCAAACTGACAAAAAACAAAACTGTAAATAATTGTTTTTTTGACGCCACTCAAAATGTGTTACTAAAATATCTGAACAATGTTTTTATAATAAAGTTTTCATGAAATTATTATTTTCATTAAAATATGAAATATCAAAGTCCTTGTAAACTGGAATTAATGGCTTATTTTACTTTGGTAATGCAATGCAATTCTGAGAAGACTTTATTGTGTGAAAATTAGGATAGGTGGTTTTCAGTTACTGGTTAACAGTCTAAAAGCTTTAGTTAATAGCACTTTACAGTCTTCTTGCACTGTGACATCTCTGCCATCTAGTGTTTACAAAGCAAACTTCAACAACTAACAATAAAATAAAATAAGATGCTTTACAAACAAACAAAATGTAAGAACATGATTTTAAAAACTATATCGAACAATTTTCCTTTCATTTTATTTTCTAAATATATTTCAGTATTATAAACAATCATAGTTTTTTTTCAGTATGTTTCAGTTTCAGTTGTGTTTATTTTGGAACACTAGATGATGCCACTACCAGCACCAATATTGTGATTTTGAGTACCGTATTCATGCCTTTAACATACAGTGTACATTTGTGAAGCATCTGCAAACTGCATTAATGTAAATACCTTCATTTGGCTATTAGTAGTAGCAATAATAAATAACTTGTTTCTATACACCTAAAGTAATGTAACATAGCTACAGTAGACATGTCATACATTAAGTTTACACATGCTTGCAGTCATGCCAAGGTCCACAAAACATTTAATTCTGCATTAACTGCAAGTTAATTAATGGAAACAACAGGAAAGCCGCTGTTCTAAACCAAAAGCCTCCATTGTCCCTTTTGTATTGTAAAAGAGATTAGTTGGTTTTATATAAAAAATTAAAAAAAAATCAATAAATAAATAGAAAGTGAGTAAACCTGTTGTATTACAATTGTTAAGTACTGTGCATCCGGAAAGTTCTCATAGCGCTTCACTTTTTCCACATTTTTTTATATTACAGCCTTATTCCAAAATTGATTAAACTCATTTATTTCCTCGAAATTCTACACACATGACTCCATAATGACAATGTGAAGATCTTAAGTCTTTTTGAATATGATGCCACAAGCTTGACCCACCTGTCTTTGGGAATTTTTGCCCATTCATCTTTGCACTACCTCTCAAGCTCTATCAGGTTGGATGGGAAGCAACGGTGTACAGCCTTTTTCAGATCTCTCCAGAGATGTTCAATAGAATTTATGTCTGGGCTCTGGCTGGGCCAATCAAGGACATTCATTGAGTTGTTACTCGGCTCTATTGATATTCTGAAGCAGGTTTGAAAGCACCACGATGCTTCACTGTAGGGATGGTATTTGCCTGGTGTTGAGCGATGCCTGGTTTTCTCCAAACTTAACGCCTGGCATTCACTCCAAAGCGTTCAATTTTAGTCTCATCAGACCAGAGAATTTTGTTTCTTATGGTCTGAGAATCCATCAGGCGGGGAGTGGATTCCGTCTGGCCACTCTACCATACAGGCCTGATTGGTGGATTGATGCACATTTGGTTGTCCTTCTGTAAGGTTCTCCTCTCTTCACAGAAGAATTCTGGAAAATTCTGAAAAAATCCTGTCTCGGAGGTCTACAGACAATTCCTTTGTCTTCATGTTTGGTTTGTGCTTTGACATGCACTGTCAACCCTGAGACCTTATATAGACAGGTGTATAGACAGGTGTATGCCTTTTCAATTCATGACCAATCAACTGAGTTGACGACAGGTGAACTCCAATTAAGCTGCTGAAAAATCTCAAGAATGATCAGTGGAAACAGAATGTACCTGAGCTCAATTTAGAGCTTCACAGCAAAGGCCGTGAACACTAATGTACAGTAGATGTGATTTTTCAGCTTTTTAATTTTTAATAAATTTGCAAAAATTTTGAAAAATCTTTTTTTACATTGTCATTATGGGGTATTGTGTGTAGAATTTTGAGAAAATAAATGAATTTAATCCATTTTGGAATAAGGCTGGAACATAAGAAAATGTGGAAAAAGTGAAGCGCTATGAATGCTTCCCGGATGCACTGTAGATTAACCGAGAAAACAATAAATGATGTTTTACTCACTTTTTTTAAACCAACACTTTTTGGAAATAGGCTCATTTTACAAGATTTAGATCTAGATTCTAGAGACCATTTTTTAATCCACTGAGCTAATCTCTGTGAGCAGTTCCAGTTTAGCTTAGCAAAAATAATTGAATCGTATTAGACCATTAGCATCTAACTCCAATATTTTTGATAATTTTCTTTTTAAAACTCTTCTGTAGTTAGAATGTATACTAAGTTTCTATTTTCTAGGCTGATATGTCTAGGAACTATACTTTTATTGTTGTGTAATAATCAAGGAACTATGATGCTGTACAATAGCTGTAGTACTGTAGGTACAATGCTTTTACACAACACTTACCTTGTTAGGGACTATTTTCAGGTCCTGCATAATATCATTGTGCCTGCTACACCCATAATACAGAGAAGTACCTCGATTATTATGCTGAAATGAGAGTATAGTTCCTATAGCTATATCAGCCTAGAAAATAGCAACTTGTCATTTTCAACGTCTGTCTTAGTAAACAATGTAACTGCATAATAATCTAACTTTAAATAATTGCTCCTATCTAAACTCTTTTACCTATGAGTGGGATGCTAATGGTCTAATCTGATTAAATGACTTATGCTTTTTAAGCTAAGCTAAAAGTGCTTCTTCCCGTTTTTCTTTTAAAAGGTGGACTGTTTAAGCTAAGTCAACTTGTCAATTTTAAGGCCACAAGCTTACACATTTTTATGTAAAGTATTATGATTTAAAGAGATTGATCATCCATCTAAATGAAAAACATGTATAAAGAGCATAGGATGCCACTGGTTTACCTGAATCAGTATGTCACTTTGCGAGTAAAGTGTGGCAAAGGCGGGGGCTGGAACCTCCTCACCTCCTAATGTCGACGGGCCGTCAAAAACACACTCCAGAGACTCTACCTGAAGAGGGGCACGTAACTCAGGTGATAAACATGACTTCCAAAACACACGCTCATAGAAACACACACAAACACATGAAACAACGTGCCCACAAGCAGCTTTAGAGTAGAGCTGAAGTGTGTGAAAGCATCGTGCCCTTCACAAAAACCATGCAGATACTGACACATGACAACTTCACTGAACAAGCGTAATAAAATGAGGAATAAAGTAAAAAAAAGAATGGACAGTATGAGGTGAGTTCAGTATGATGACTGAACTACTCAGAATTTCATAATGATGATCATATATATGCAGAATACATACAAAACACTCTTGTAAAGCCACGGATCATCATGATGAACTGCAGACACTCATAAAAGGCACACACTTGAGGTTGTGTGGCAGAAGACAGCAGGTGAATTGCCATTTTCATTTTTATGAAGACAATTCAGAACGATTGGACAGATGGGCCATAATGTGATCGTGTGTGTCAGCTGTGTATCAAACTTAATGGTAATTGATCAAATGTGTGTTTTCTAGAGTTGATCTTTGATTTAAATCAATGAGAGTAATCGGGATCTAATTTTGACATTCAAAAAAGAACATTTGAAGTGGTGAGTACATTTCATTGCATGTTTTTAGATGACAAATCCACTAGAGGGCGATATCTACATTTTTGCGAATCTGAAAATTCTTTAGTAAGGGTATATTTTGTTGTTTTAATAACCCGTTATTCTTGCATGCCCATGAACCACTGATCTAAACCCCGAGAAAACTGCACTGCGAAAACATGTATGACCTTGATTTAACATTGCTTGCATCTCTTTTGTGGAACCCTGCTTCACCGGAGTTATGCTGTGTTTACACCAGACACAGATGAAGTGATTCACATGTTAAGTCAATGCAAAGATGTGAATAGACATCCTGCGCAAATGAGGCGGCACAAATGACGCGATTCACACAAATGAAGCAGCGTGGGTTGAGCGTTTTGTGTGTTTAAATCGCTCGAGTTGGAAAATCTTGAACTTCAGCGGACATTTAAGCGATCAGGAGCTTTCTCTTTTGGGACACGGGACAAAAGTTCATCATACTGGGCTCGGCTCAGTCGAAAGCACTGCTGAAAGCCTCCACACGGTGTGCTATTTTTCTGGTGTAATTCTTTATTTGTCAAAAGAAATGTCTTTGCAAATACCATTTGTGTAGAAATGAACACAAGCTGTCAGCGTCAAACTGACCTGCAAAGTTAATTTTACTGAGAAACTGAAGTCAAATGTATTAGGTTATTTATTTATTTTTTTTTTTTTTTGTGGTTTCATATATATGTACACTACACTACCGGTCAAAAGCTTGTGGTCATTTTTTTTCTTTTTCTTTTTTAAGAAAATGATTCTGTTTCATCAAGGTGGCATTTGTTAAATGTAAAAAAAAATAATAATAAAAAAAAAAGTTAAATTGTTAAATATTTATTAAATATTTATTAATTGCTTATTGCACGTATTTTCAAATACAATGATTACTCCAGTAATTATTTCTTTTATTACTATAACCATTATCAATAATAATAATAATAATAATAATAATTAATATTAGAGTGATTTCTGAAGGATCATGTGACAGAAGACTTTAGTAATGAAGTTTAAAATGCATCTTTAAAATCACTGGAATAAATTTAAAATAAAATTATAAAGGACTTTTGAACATTTACTTTATAGTGCAATAACTGCATTTTTGATTAAATAAATTCAGCCTTGGTGAGCAGAATACGCTTATTTTAAAACATTTAAAAATCCTACTGACGGTAGTGTAGACTAAAACATGTATTTCCAATGAGCCTGCGTTGCTAAACATAAATCCTACAATAGTACCAAATCAACACAAAGATTCAACAGAATTCACAATTCAACACATACATTATCCAGTCTATTACGTGATTGTTTTTGTGAATATTAGGCCAAATTTGACATTTTCAAAGCAGCCATATTAATAATCAGAATTTAACCGTCCCTGTTTAGAATATCTGCAAAGTTACAAAACAAAGACTGCAAAGAATGTTTTTTTTTCTGTATTCACTATGCAGTGCATCCAAACTCCATTGTAATCCTACTTTTTTTTTTCTTACTAAAAAAAAAAATATATATTTTTTTTTTAACAAAATATAAGGTAAAATATAAACAAATTAAAAAAATAATTAAAATAGGCTTCTTGGCCCTAAGCAGCTGCTTACCTCGCTTATTGGTTAAGTCCATCCCTGTTTGTAGTTAATGTATAGTATTACCAATGTTTCACAGTATAAAATAACACATGATCCATAATGCCAAAAAATATGCTAGAAACTTCCACTTTCAGAGATGTTACAAATTATTATATATATTTTTTCAAACAAATACTCTTCTCTTAAATATTTAACTCACCAAATAAATAAATACAAAAAAAAGGATTTTTACATTTTGGGTCAACCAAAGGAAGTAAAAGGCTATTAATTTAACTACAGAGAGCAAAAGGGTATTTTAAAATATCTACAAAATATTTTTTTTTTCAAAGTTATCTTATTCCACAATATTAAATGCTAACCCTTTATTTTATGGTGTCCATGATACAAAGAAGAATATAACATTAAATACCACATTAATGTAGCAGCTGTTGTATTTGCATTAAATAAAATGTACTTTCCATGCACTGTAACCAAGTAATGGAACTAGTGCTGAACTAGTGCACAAAGTTTGTGTTTACATAATATACACATACACAAAATGATTACGCATAAATTGCAATTTATCCCTCAGTCTTCCAAATATATGTAACACATCACGATGACCCACTTTTATTACTGCAACCCTTGTGCTAACAAACACACTATTTATTCCCCCTGATATAAATACCCTAGCAGAGCTTTGCTGTGCTTTGCACTGATTTCACTGTAGGCCTTTACCAGAACGTGGGCCAGTCACAGGACGCTACAACTGTGGGACATGGAGAGCCACAAGATGTCATCTCCATCTGTGCCGACAGCTCCAGCCAAGCACACAGCGAGTCAACACAATCACATAATCGGGTTAAAAACGCTAAATCTCAGACATCTACCACCATAAATTAATGCGACGTTAAACAAATAGTGCATGCGCTTCAGGAGGAGAACTCCGGCTGTGTGCCACTGAAGCGAAAGGTTAAACAATCCTTAACTGTGGACGGGAGCATCTCTGTGTCTTGACTGCCAGTACAGCGTCTGTAAATAGAAACCTGACCAGAGGCATGTGGTTCATGTGTCGTGTGCTGCAGAAAGCAGGCAGTCACGTCATCGCCAGGGCAGAGAAAGTGTAAAACCGATTTATGGCAAATTTGATCAAAATTATTCAACAATCTGCATCAAGTCGAAAATCAGACACTACTGCAATTTAAATGTCTAACAGAGACACTCGCACAACTATAAATGTTGTGTTTCTATTAAATACAATTACATAATTATAAGTACAATTAAATATGTAATAAATAATAAATAAATAGTCACCTTGGAATTATAAGGTTCTATCTGCGTCCTGAATGATTTTGACATATTGAGCTTCAAAGTTTTTGCATTCCATATAGCAAACAGTATGAGTGGAACATTTGTTTTTTAAATAAAAAGTCTTAAAATGTAAACAACTTCTAAAAAAAAATCCCACAATGTAAATAAGTTGTCATTTAATAAGAATATGTCAATAACTCAATTTTGAAGAAAATGTCAGATAGAACCTTATAATTCTAGGTGACGAAGCGTAAACGTATAAATAAAAAATAAATGTATAAATAAATAAATGAACGAACAAATGAGTAAAAACATGTCAAGTAAACTAAAATTAAGTCTATAAAATATCGAAATAATAATAATAAAAAAATATTATTATAAACGAATATGAATTTTTTTAATTTCCTTTTTTTGCATCCCATTTAAGACCATCTATTTAGCGGTGTTATTATTTGTGAGAGAAAAAATATTTGAAAATTTATTAAGATATTTAGCAAGTGTTTAAGTTTTTTGGTTTGCTTGTTTTTTAGTTTTCGCTCACAATTAAATATGATTTTGATTTTACTGTATTAACAGTATCAGTATTGTGGCACAAGGTTTAAAAAAAAAGATTTGAGGACCATGAGCATCACCACAACAGATTTAGAAAACAATATTTATTTACTTAAATCTTACAATAAAATTAAATAAAGCTTCAACTTACATGTATTACCTCCATTTCAAATGCGTGTCTCATATCTCTGATTTAATTATAAAGCTTAGCTAGGTTGTTTTAACTAAAAATTGTGACTAAAAATGATCCTTTCATAACAAATAATGACCACAAGGTGGCGCTCGATTACTGCAATCACTAATGCCCATAAAAACGGTCAAATCATCACATCACAAGGCTAAATATGAAGAAAATAACCATCTTAAATCACAACCAAACAATCCAGCACTGTGTTCAACAAACAAGGTGCTAAAATGCTTCCTTGTGCAAAGAGCAAACGCCGATGTGTGTCCGTAGCATGAAGCACGGATTCCCAGAGCCAATGTTTGCGCGTCAGCTCGGCCAGCAGCCAGAAACGCACCATCAGCCTGGAGCACATGGACTGATTTAGGAGGAATGCAGGCTCATAGTGATGACAGAGCGAGTGTGTTTTTGTATGCGTGTGTGTTTGTGTGTGTGTGCAGCTGAGGCTGATGGGAGGTGACAGGCAGGGCTCTGTCTGCATGCGGGGAGATCCAGTGATCTGAGCCCAACGCTGCTCCTCCTCAAACATAAGCTCTGGAACTGTAGCTTTTAAAACAGACACATCCATCGACAAACCGCTGCAACACCTGCTTTTTATGGAGGATGAAGGAAAATTGTCATTTAGAGGAAGAACCGTTCTGAGATCAATAGTAGGTTATTATTAATAGGCCTGCACAGAAAACTAATAAAATATTTGCATAAAATTACAATTTAAAATTGTCTACACTATTGTTTTTCCGAATGTACGACAATTTTTGTTCATGGATAATAAAGGATAATAATAAAATAGTGGAAGGACCATTCTGAGAGCCAGAATAGTAGGACATTATTAACAGGCCTGCAAAGAAAAGTACTATTAAAATGTCATTTTAATGGTTGTTTCTCTGGATTTACAATTTGTGTTAAAACTGATTTAATGTTTTATTCTTTAAAATTCACCTTAATATATTTTTATTTTAAATGAAGCATTCCCATTACTATGCTCTCTTCATGATTTACTGCAAGTAGATACTAATGGCAAACGATTTATAGTGATTGATTAAATATTTATTTTGAAACAAATGGACTTTTTTTTTTTCAATTACAAACAGTATTGTGGGCAACGCATTGTAAGTAGCAAATGTCCTTTTAAAAGTAACAGGTAAAATAACGCATTACTTTTTACTTTACATGAGTTACTTTTTACCTTGCTCAATTGCCTTTTAAAAATATATTGCCGAATAAAAATTACCTTAGGTTAATTAACACACTCAATGATAGAGCAAGCTACGAGGTAACAGACAGTCGGCTCGCACTCATCATCATCAGGTTTCTTTTTTACAGCAGATTAGTCAGTGCACTGTTCTACTAACTTAATAACTCAGGATATTGGTTTATTTCGCGTCAGAGGTGGTCTCCGGTATGTTTAAAAGTAAGTACTTACTGAAGACCAAATAGTTTCAAGAAACCTCAGTGTAATTTAATGAACTAGATTGACCGGTTCACTAAGAAGATCTGGTTAAATCAACCGATTCATTCAGGAATCGCCCGTCATCGCTACAGACAGTCAGAAACAGAAACAATGGCAGGCAGGAGATTACATTTTTGCAATGGATTCTTCTCATTTGTAACTCATCACAATAGATTGTCGTTAAGTGCGAATAAATCCATGCAATGAGACAAACTGAACAAAATAGTCACTTCCTGATTAACTGGCGCCAAATATCAACAGTAAAAACGAAATTTACTGCAGTAGAAGAAGCTACGTGAATCTTTTCTTTATTTAATAAACGACTTGCGCCTCAAAAGACAATGCCGACATGCGATAAACGTGTGATGGCAATTGAAAACAAGAGACGCGGAGCAGAGACGCACTTGACAGGCCTGAAGGCAATTAATAAATATAATAACAATAATACTGAAATGGTTAAGGCATTTTAGAATGACCAAAACAACATTTCAGATGTTTTACAATGTGCTCAGCCTGCTGGTTTGTCCATTCACACACATTAAAGTTTTAAAATGGACAGTGAATTTACTTAACTAATAACACAAAATGCACATATGTAGCAAACACATTACTTTACATGCTTTTATTAATCTGTATACAGCATATAGAGCTCTGGGCTAAGAAAGTTCTCAAAATATAATATTATTTTAAAGGTAAATGAAGGTGTAGGTTCTATAGGTGGTGATCAAACCTCAGCCAGGTAAAGAAAAGTGACACAAAAGTAACTTAAAGGTTATATACTGCATTTCTTTCCATAAAAAGTAACTAAGTAACAGTATTAGTGACTTGTTGGGGGGTGTAACTCCCCCCAAAAAATATTGTAATTTACTACTTTCAAAAATAACTTTCTGATTACGACAAATGTCATTCATTCATTCATTCATTCATTCATTTTCTTGTTGGCTTAGTCCCTTTATTATTCCTGGGTCGCCACAGCGAAATGAACCGCCAACTTATCCAGATAGTTTTTACGCAGCGGATGCCCTTCCAGCCGCAACCCATCTCTGGGAAACATCCACACACATTCACACACTACGGACAATTTAGCCTACCCAATTCACCTGTACCGCATGTCTTTGGACTGTGGGGGAAACTGGAGCACCAAGAGGAAACCTACGCGAAGGCAGGAAGAACATGCAAACTCCACACAGAAACGCCAACTAAGCCGAGGTTCAAACCAGCGACCTTCTTGCTGTGAGGCGACAGCACTACCTACTGCACAACTGCCTCGCCCTCCGCTCATTGAATAATAAATAAAAACTAATGGATTTTAAAAAGTAATTTTTTTTTTTTTTCCATATTAGATTTATATTTTTTTCACAATTACAAACAATACACATTTTCTCTGAAAATAACTGACTAAACTGTCCTGACAACACAGACTAAAAAAGTGTAAAAGCTTTTATTGCTTTATTGTATCATGTCTGGCTATGACACTGTGGCGGTATGTGATATTTTATCAGATATTCTGGCTAATCTGATATGGCTTTCAGCTACCAGTAAGAGTCCAGCATTCCCAGAACAGTTTAACACAATTGACATTTTTAAATCCATTCTGCAAAATCCTCAGCATTCTTTCAATCAAGAAAACGTGAAGATGTAATCATGTTGGCCAAATGTTGATCAATGTTTTCAAAAACAACATGCATTGACCCTGAAAGGTTTCTCATTCATGGTAAAAAAGAATCATTCAGAGTTAGCCTAACTGCTAACATAAGGTACTGAATGCATAACTGGGCTAACCTTCTGACAAATGTTTCCCTCTGCATCCATATTTTAAGAGCTCCATCCGACAGCTGCAGAAAACTGAGTCACTGTACAGCAGAACAGTCTCAGTGGACCAGCTATAATCCATTAATGATGACCACAATAACAAAGCCAACTGTGCACAAGTCCAGTTTCAGTTTAAAGTCATGTTGCTAATTTCTTGCTTGCGGGTGCTATCTTTTCATCTGACACACACACACACACACACTGAGACTTTTTTTGGGTTCTTAGTAGTTATATACAGTTAAAATACTCCAGTAGTGTGCACTTTGTGTTTACAGTACTGTCATTAGCTTAGCAACACGTGCTAACACACAAGTTTAGCTTTGAGTCTAATATCCACTTCATGTGTGCTCTGTATCTGCTTGCTTGCTTGCTTGCTTGTTTGTTTGTTTGTTTGTTTGTTTGTTTGAAAAAAGTTTGAAATGTCTAGTTGAAAATTGAGGTAGCTTTCAAGCTATTGTTTTAGCAGGTGCTACTGACCTGTTTTCCCATACTGGACATGATGCATTACACTGTGTTGAACTTAACACAACAAAAAAGATAAGTAACATTACTTTGCTAAATCACATAGGTATAGTGTAGCCCAGAGCTAGAAGTAAAGTTTACTTGTGTTTAAATAAGGAAAAAAGCATTTTAAATTGTTTCTAGCTAGTTAACGGTTTTCGTAGTTTGCAATTTATGGGTATTAACGGTTAATTGTTTTTTGTTTTTAAATTGCCTAACTGGATCTTAATCTCTGTTCAGACCATTTTTGATGTTGAAAAGTTTAACCAAAAGCGACATCTAACACTTCCAATGGTTTGAAACAAAATAGTTTATTGCAATATATTGTAAAATAAATTATGGAGACCAAATGTGATGATGTCACTGGCCCAATAACATTTCCTGCTTGTTATCAAACTATTTCATAACTGTAACGGGTAGCAATTCACTCAAAACTTATTGTCAAAACAGCTACAGTGTTTTATAACATTATTCATCAATGTGTAGCTCTTTTTGGATTCTCAGAAGCTAAAGAAATTAAAAATGTAAAACAGGAAATGCGTTGGGAACATTTTTTTTTATTTACATCCCTCAAAGTAAACCTGTTGTAACTTGGATCTGTTAGATTGAATTTTTTTATTTATTTCTATTTGTAATTTATTTTAAAATGTATTGCTATACACAACTAGAAAATGTTTATAACTTGACCAATTTAACATCAAAAGTTGTCAAAGCACAGATGAAGGTCTATTAATGCAATTCAAAAGCACACACAAAAAAAAAACACACATTTTTGAATCTTGCTTATTGTTAAAAAAAATATACATATTCTTTAGATTTTAAGTTTGCTGTTGTTTTGAAACAAAACTAGCTAAAAGTTAAAAAGGCAGAAGATTGTATATATTTCACATTAAAACATCTATAGCCTTCCAATTAAACATTCTTTGGCAGACACTGGCCATGAATGTGAAATTGAACTGAAATAAAATATATATTCAATTTATTAATAATTATTAAGAGTTTTCTGATAATTAATCATGATTGATCAGTTATCCTGAGAAATAATTAACATGCATTCGTATTTTCTACTTTAGTCTGTGTTTGTGTGTACGTGTATGTGTGTGTGTGCGTAAACATGACATTGATGGAGATTCTATCACAAGCAACATTTAAGCATGTTTACAGAGAGCACAGAGACACAATATAGATGCCATGCAGCACAGAAATGTGTCATGGAGCAAAATGAGTGGAGAGAGTTTACCTTCATTGGAGAAATGTGTGAATGGGAAACATAGCCGTGTACATTCTCAATCTGGGAGATGTTCTTCTCCGACACCTGCACCAACTCAGGAGGACGTGCATCTCCTGGGATGTGTGGAGAGCTGTGTTCGGGAGGTGACGTAGTGTCCTCATCCTGGTATCTATATTTCTGAGGAGAAGAGACAAAGATTCTCTGTTATAAAAGCTTACTATAAAGCTCGATTCAGTTCGAGTTTATAAAGTTTATGAGTTCTTTTTAATCTTCCAAAATTAGAAAATACTAAGTAACACTTATTTTGATGGTCTCCTATTTGGTCGACTCAGTTTACAAATACTCTGGTTACTTATAATTAGCAGAAATAATAATGGAGACCATCAAAATTATTTGCAAACAACTTTTGAATAAAGAGTCACATTTTAATGGCTATTAGAGGTTGAAAAACTATTTATATATATAGCCAATTCCATACATGTTCAATAAAAAAGATCAGGAGAGTGTTTTCTTCAATGTTAAAAATATTAGTAATGTATTAGATACAAATGAATAACTCAAAGACAGAGCTCTGGGTTACAGCACCCCAATTACATTCAGGAGGTTCACAACTAACTTACATTTCCCTGACTCCAGCATATATACACATCTGATATTAACAGGTGGAGTTTTGGTGTAACGTCACTTATCAGTCATTCTGCAGTCCTTTGGCTGTTGCACCCAAACATACTTCCTCTTTCTGCAACCCTTTTCTGCATACCAGAACTGAACATTTAAGTGCATCTTCAATATATTTCACAACTTATACAAGCATGTAGCTCCTTGTGACATGCCTACACCTCTTGTTAGACTGAAGTCTGGAGCAAGGCCCACCGCACTACATGAATTCTTATTCTGCTATTTCCCTCTGGTCAGCAGTTCGCTTTAAGAAGTATGCAACATAGAAGTATGTTTGAATATATGGTATCATACAAAAGAAAACGACAGAATAATCTGTTGTTAGTCTAAACATTTTTTTAGATAAAAAAATAATAATAAAGACACAAAAGTAATAAAAATGAATTCCTTTTTTTCCCACACAATCAAATCATTTAAGGTGACTATTTAAATGAAGAATGTACTATGGATGCTTTGATAAACTGAAATTTACAAATATTGATATATTTTGTAACGAGTCTAATTACAAAAAGAAATTGCAAACAAAAGAAATGTATAAATTATTTAATTTTAATAAAAACTTCAACTGCTCAAAACACGACAAAAGAAAGTAGACTTTTCTTATCGCTAAATCATAATCAAAATCCAAATATTCTATTTTTTTTTTTCCAAAGTGATCACTCAACTTAAAAAATAAATAAATAAAAAATCTTAATTAATGAGGCAATAATTTAATTTTGTTATCAGGTCGATAACAATGAAATAAAACTGAGCATTTATTGACCAAACCGATATAACTACTTATATATTGGCAATTACCGAAATGTACTGTTTCAAATTATAAAGTGATTATATGAAGTTTGTATCTATTTAAATAAATGTAAATAGGGTACAAAATTATTTTTTTATTGAAAACTGAATGAATTAAGATTAAATTATTGATTACATTAATGTTCAATTTACAATCAGTATATTAAGGCTCAATCCCAATTCTACCCCTTTGCCCTTTTCCATACCCATTGGTGTCCCAATTTTTTCTTTAGCCCGAAAGCGTAGGGCTAAGGGAAAGAGCTAGATTGCCCTCGGAACGGACATTTTTCAGGACCACACTCGAAACCAAAGGGTATGAAAATTTCACAGAATACACTATCTACAACGGTAACATGGCTGAAGTAAGTTGATGCACAAATTAGTATTTTTTGTCATTATTACAAATTTGTACAACAAAAAAGCATGTTTTAATACATCAATAACAGCAGTCATGTTTTACCGTCATGCTTTTTTTCGCTAAATATAATCCATAATACTAACTCCTGTATAGTAGTCCAACAACATACTTTCATATCTGTCAATCGATGACAGTCGAATCCCCTGTCAGAAAAGTTTAGTGGCTTTTTACAGTGTCTGCTATAATGTTAATGTAGTTTTCGTGTGTTTAGATGATTATGGCCTCAGTGTAAACGCACAGTATAGTTATCTTATTGCCACATTATATCATTATGATAACAGGATATCCTTGCCTTCAGTGATTTCCAGAAGATAAATACCAAAAAATAATGCAACTGGAATAACCACAACAGTCGCTATCGTTGATCTCATATAAAGTCAGAGCTTGCGACGACATATGTTGAGGTTTTCAGGTGTAAGTGGTGTCCCATTTCTTAGGGGTAAATTTTGAAGCCCTTCTTCTTCACACTCTGTTTCAAGGGCCAAGGGGAAGAGGTAGGGAAAGGGGTAGGGGGTAAAAGAATTGAAATTGGGCCTAAGTCCTAAAAAAGTTGAGAGGATAAGGTAAATATATATAGTAAAATATATACTGTATGAAATTTAATTGAACTGAATTTATTTTGGGTGGTGCAGAAGCACAGTGGGCAGTGCTGTCACCTCACAGCAAGAAGGTCGCTGTTTAGAGTCTCGGCTGGGCCAGTTGGCATTTTTGTGTGTAGTTTGCATGTTCTCCCCGTGATCGCATGGGTTTCCTCCGGGTGCTCCAGTTTTCCGCCACAAGTCCAAAGACATGTGGTATAGGTGAATTGATTATGCTAAAATGGTCGGTAGTGCATGAAAGTGTATGAGAATGTATGGGTTTCCCAGTGATCTAGTGGGTAAGTTGGCGGTTCATTTCTGATTAATAAAGGGACTAAGCCAAAAAGAAAATTTACTACAATGGCAAATCATAGCTTAAATAAAAACATTAAATATATATATAACGTTTGTTCATTCTGAGTCTCAGGCATTCATATTCAAACTGCATATTTAGAGGGGGAAAAAGACCTGATAAAGTTAAACTTCAGCACTGTTTTAGAACTGCAAAACTATTTCAACTCCATTTCTCTGTGGACCACACTCCTGAGATGGGAAACACTTTTTAAATGAGCCAGAAACCCCCGTATTGCACCCGCTACACAGTCATCACAGTCGACCCCAATCTGCCACGACCGTATGTGAAATATTGTGCTGTAACTTTCTGAAAGGGATTCGCAAATTATTTAGGAGTGCTTTTCATCCTCAGACATCCATCTTGTGCAGGTGCCTTGTTGACCCTGATGCATATGCCCTCTTCTATAGCATTCCTGGATATGGGTTAGGAAATGCAAACACAAGTCTAGAGGGAAGATAAAGAGGGCAGGTTTCTTAGGGAAAATAGATGCCCCAAAAAAGTGGGACAAACTCCAAGTTGGGGTCTTATGCTGATTGCTTACAGTAACATCAGCGCCTCTGAGCAGCATGGGGAAGACTGAGTGGATTCGCCCATATGGAGAGATACACGGTAGAATCCCATGCCCTATTTTAGCACCCAAAAAAAGAAAACAAAAAAGAAATGGTGCATTAACCACTGCATCAAAAAAGTACATCACAAGCTGAATTAGATGCAATGTTATTTAGCATGAAAAAATCTTCTCTTTCAAATCAAATTAATCTAAAATATTAATGACAGCATGTGTGCTTGCACTAGACACAAAAAACATAAAACAAACATAGAACAAGGACCCAAAATAATATCTAAAAACAAAACTAATTCTAAAGCAAAACCTAAAACAAAACTAACACTAAGGGCTCTGTTTTAACGATCTTAGCGCAAAGTCTAAAGCACAAGCCGTAAAAGCATTAAGAGCATGTCTGAATCCACTTTTGGAGGTAGTATTTTATATTTATGTAGTAACTAATAATTTTTGTAACATTTTTTTCTTACATTTTTTATGCATATGTAAAGACATTTGTGTACACCTCCTTTTTAGACCAGAACACCCATGAGTCCACAATGTGGCGCAAATGGACTTGCTATTTAAACAACATGGTACAAAAACTTGACAATTAGAGTTACACTGGTCTGAAAAAAAACAACATATCGTGCCAAACACATCATGCACTATATTGCGGCAAGTGTATGATAGGGCCTTAAACAAAAAAACGTATCTAAATCCATAACATATCCATAACAAGGCAGAAAAAAACACAATATAAATAAAACAATTCCAAAACAAAAGCCCTAGAACAAAGCCCAAAATGACACCTAAAAAACACCAAATCTAAAACAAAACTAACACTAAACACATCTAAAAATAGAATAAAGCAAAAACCGAACTGAGAGAAAAAAATACCTAAAAAGGCACAAAATAATACAACCTAAAACAAAGCAAACAAATAAAATTCAAATCATACCTAAAAAAAATAAATAAAAAAGGACCTGCCAAAACAAAATATCAAAAAACAAACAAAACAAAATAAATAAAAATAAACCCAAAACAAAAGATAAAATAAAATCCAATACAAAACCTACAAAAACAAACAAAAAAATAATAATAGAATAAAACAGAAATCACAAATTCAAATTTTTTTTTTTATAAAAGAATAAAAACAAACCCAAGTAATAAATACAATAAAAGCCATATCAACAAAAAAAATTTTTTTTGACCTATATTAAACTAAAACCACTGGCTTGCCCGATGGCAGAAAAAAATGTGTCCTTTAGAGTCCAGCCATTTATTAAACAGACCGAAGAGAAATGTGCTACAGTACTACCCCTACCAAAGTCGTCTGCTGCATTTTTGCCAGATCCGCTGTGCACAAAACCCCTTTGCCTTGTTCCTCACAGCTCAAAGTTAAAACTGCACTCCCAGCGGGCCACAATGCCAGCAAAATTGAAAGGTGAGTTTGAACTCGGAGCCACTGCTGGGAGAGAAAGGGACAGACAGGGCTCAGTTCTGGAGATGTTATTACACCGCTGAGTGCTTCAGTGACTCGGCTTCAGGCGAACTCTGAGCCCAGCTTGCCTGGATAATGAGCTGCTCGACTGGCTCAACGCTGGTCCATCCAAGCCCAGCGAACGTCAGTAAAACCTAATAAATGCAGAGAGATCACTCACACGGCTATTCAACCAAGGAGGACAGGTCTCGGAAAACTTGACAGCAGTGAAAAACGAATGGCTTTACACAGGCGATGTCCTTTGCAATACAATGCCACTGCCCTGGAGAAGGCCGAAGCATGAGAGGCGCACGGCTGCTAGAAAATGCCGTTTG